ATATATATATATATATTATATAATATTAAATAATAATACAATATAATATTATATAACATATAACATCTAATATTTAAATATTGTTAATTCTCGACATTAATTCCATGATTAATTCGATCATGTTCTAACGAAGAAAAAAAAGAGAAGAAATAATAATGAAATTTGCCTTCTAGAGTAATATGTTCTAATCGAAAATAACGACGATCGAACGAAAATCTGATGGGAATCGACGAGATATATAGAGCGAAGTATAGAGAACAAAACTGCCAAGTTGGACAGCCCCTGCTTTCCGTACAGACACGAATCCGAATTCTTGAAAGATCTTCGATAGGTCCACGATCAACATCAGAGATACATCATAACTATATAAAATCACGCGATCAGCCTGCTTGCAATTTGCATACCCGACCGCACGAATGTTCTCAATGACTGTACTCTGACCACTCGAAAATCGTTCTCGTTCGAACTGTTTGCTTACCCTCTCGATAAATGCATTTCGCGCGTTATTTTGTTCATCGCGTTATCCTACTTTCACTAATACTGTCGAATTATTCGTGTGAAGAAAAAAAAAAAAATACTCAGATATAAACTTTTTCGTTCGCTCGTAGTTGTAAAGAGAGGGAAAACAAAGAAATTTCTCGATTATCGATCGGTTTGGAGCTTATCGACGATTCGTAATTAATACGATATAACATTTCAGTTTCCATTCGTTGAAGTGGCTTTCGATTATAATCCGAGAAGACGATGTTCCAAGTTGTAAAATATTTATTGTTCGGGAATATTTTACTTTTAATTATAGAGATAGGAGATATATAGTTAGATCCTTATTAAACTGAAATATGAGATACTTAACTAGAGAACCATGAATCTGATGAATGCGATTGAATTTTGCAATTTCCTGTTGCAGTTGTAAAATATATAGGTATTTAATATTTAAGGATTGTTCAGGTATTTGATACTGACGGATTGTTCAAAATATCTCGCAGTTAATCGTTATGAAAATTTATTTCCACGTTCCTAAAAAAATTACTTTCTATTGAAAATTGAGAATTATTCGAATTGATAGTAAAGCCAAAAATTTTTTAAATTATACACTCATTTGATTTCAATTAGTCACGAGTTATATTGGATAGTTCTCGCGTAGAACATTTGACGAAACCTGCACTTTTACGATGATTTTAATGAACGTTATATAAATAAATAAAAATTAGATTTTCGCACGTAAGATAAACAAAAATTTCATCGTAATGAAAATCTGAATTTCGCTTGAAAAAATAATTCGCAACTTATCTTTTCTTATCTTGCGGACACAATTCGCAAAATTAGAACATGCTTCGCAACCACAAATCGATCAACAAACAACGAAGATAAACCAATTTTCTCACTCTCGCTATATGCATCACAAAATTTATTTTCTGTTCTAACCCAATTTTCTCTACGATATAAAAGTTGAATCGCTTCTCGTGTTTCGTATCTTAAACATAGATGAACAACAATGTTACGGGTATGATTCTAACCAGTATGATTAATTTCTAATTTATACTTTCAGAAATTCAGTGTCTCTGTTTTGCGTTCTCGCATGTTCAATGCACGTTCCGTAAAAAAAGAAAGAAAGAAAGAAAGAAAGAAAGGGGAACAGACAATTCGTCGATCGTTGCCGCAATGTGCGACAAACCGGAAGTTGCTAGGCGTCTCTCGTAACCGTGGCTCGGAATAACAGCTTGTGCATACAGACGTTTGACGGTCTGGTGCGTAATCACAGTGAAAGCTCGGCGAAACGTTGGAATTTAGCATGCTTCTCTACGTGAGGATTCTTCGTCATTGAATGGCGTAAACTTCAGTTTAAAGTAATAGGTATATATCATCCGACACGAAGACCGGAACTCGAAACGGTGTTTGAATTTATTTTGACACGTTCCGTGCTGGAAGGGCATTAAACTGCAGGATTCAATTTAAATAGTTAAATAAAATTAACAAAATTCCGTTTATTGAAACGAAGTTAGAAACAGTTGATGCTTTGTCAAATGAATTTCCGTTGGATGGATTCATTTACACGAATTTGCATTAACATGAACGAAAGATAACAAGTGGTGGGAAACATTAGCGAGCTTCGTATCGTATAAACGTTTCGTTTGTCCCACGAAACAAATTTTAGATAAACAGAGTTTTACTGCGTATAGTATCTTAAATTCGAGTAAACAGTGATAATCGATCGTTTTATTGAAATTTGCTGAGATATAATGAGAAAAAAGTGACTTCTTAACCCTTTGATTGTTTAAAATTTCCAAACGTCTGAAAGTTTAATGCTAAAAGAGTTGCATTGAGCAAATGAAGAATGTACTCATCTCTAAACGCTGAATGTATTTTTTGATATATTTATTCAATATGTTGTAACGTCTTATCCTCTTTTCTAAAATCTTATTTCTAAAATCCTATTTATTATGAGATGATCCGTATAATAACATTCAATGAGTTAAGAGCGATATTTTTTCTATCTTTGATTAGATTATTTAAACTGCTTGAATCACTTCAGTTTGGTTGACTTGTCTTGAAATATTTTCTTGCTCTCTTCAGAATGTATATTCTGATTAAATTACATTTAAAAAATTTTTAATGAACACAATCAAAATACAACAACTTGGAAACTAAATTAAATGTTTTTTGACAATATGAAAACGCGTAATCTTGACAATATAAAAATATACATATGTATACATATGCTTGATGCCGCAGCTTATTATGATTGAAACTAAATTTGTATTAAAATTATTATTATTCATAATAAGCAATAATTAAGCTTATTTCGCTTAAACTACGAAAACTTCTGCAATCTAACATCTTAAAGAGGACAAATCAGTGTGCATTTT